CCGATGCACCTTGACCAGCCGGTCAACGCTCGGCTGGTGGAGAATGCCGGAGTCGGAGTCGAGGTGCTCCGGGAGGCCGATGGCAGGCTGCGCGGGGAGGTGCTGGCGGCGGCAGTCCGGCGGGTTGTGGTGGAGGAGGGAGGAGAGGAAGTGAGGCGGGCTGCGGCGGCCATGCGGGCTGGGCTCGCCGAGAATAAGGATGAGGAGATTCATGAGGTGGTTAGGGAGCTAACTGGCCTTCTTGTGGGCAAGAACTAGTTATTTTTATTTCTACTTTTTAATTAGGACTTTTTATTTAAGAATATATGTTTTGGAAGTAAATATGTTTAGTTTGGCTTTGGTAGTGTTTGCTGCTTATGGTTTTTGGATAATGCAGGTGAACAGGCAAAGCCACAGTACTTAATTAGGATTTACTACTGATTTAGTATTAATGTTATGATTTGAGATGTTTTTGGACCATGTTATAAATCATAACTATATATGCAAGTTTTTTTTTTTTTTCTTGAGTTAATTAATATTTAAATGGTGTGTCTCGTTTGAGGTTAATTTTTTATTTCTATGAATGAATGATTCATTTTTAAAATTTGTGATATTGTTTCTTTAGATCAAGATCATATATGTTTCTTTGTTCCTTTTTTTTATTATCAAATCGTATTTATTTAAATCTTTAATCATTTTTACAATATATTTACCTTATCAAATCATGTTAACCAAATCAAAATCACTCTAGTAAAAACGGGATGATTCACCTAAATCAAAATCATATATTTTATATTTATATTCAGTATACACCATGATATATGGTAGCTAGAGTTATGGGAAGCAAACCGCTTATTGAATGCTCCGTGTAATAGCCCGACTCGTTAGTACTCAAGTTCGATTTGCTATTTTTTATAAATGCGCCAAGACGAGCCCGACTATCAGGTTCGAACTAACTCTTGGAATGAAACTAAGTAAACACACTTTTTTTTACATGGGCCTAATGCTAAATTGGGCTTGAAGACAGATGTACAAGAAACGCGAGTTGTGGCGGGAAAAAAATCGCCCCCAATTCGCATCCCTTACAAATACCAAAGCTCACTCAAACTCTCTCCACAATTAGGGTTACGAAATGGGGAAGAGAAGCAGAGCTAGGGTTTCCAAG